TTTTTTTTTTTTTTTTTTTTTTTTTTTTTTGAGACAGTGTCTCACTCTGTTGCCCAGGCTGGAGTGAGGTGGAGTGATCTCGGCTCACTGCAACCTCCACCTTCCAGGTTCAAACGATTCTCCTGCCTCAGCCTCCCAAGTAGCTGGGACCACAGGCACGCACCACCACACTCAGCTAATTTTGTATTTTTAGTAGAGATGGGGTTTCACCATGTTGACTAGGCTGATCTCGAACTCCTGACCTCAAGTGATCTGCCTGCCTCGGCCTCCCAGAGTGCTGGAATTACAGGCATGAGCCACTACGCCTGGTTCACCATCCATTTTTGCCCAAAACCTGGGAGCATCTTTGCTGACTCAGTGGCACTAGGCATACTCCTATACCTGCTATACCCAAATACCCTAGATGCCACAGCTACTGACAGCCTACTGCCATGCCCACACTGTGGCCACACCCTATTCACTCAGCTTGGCATCCTCAGAACCTGACACGTTGCCTGGCATCTAGTAAGCACCTGATGATATTTGCTAAATGATCACATTATTTTTGTTTGTAGTACACCCAAGCCTGAACTGAGCCATCTCTTCCAGCCAAGCCATCCTGGCAGGCATCCGGTAGCCCTGCTACATCCCTCTCATCCCTGGGTGTGTCCCATCCAGCAGCCCCTGGGCCATCCCAGGCTGTACCCGTCAGACCCACCAAGACCCTGCGGCCCCAGCTTCCTACTCACACCACGCCAGGCCTCGGGCAGGAGTCTGAGGTCCAGTAGAAGTGTTTCACCACACGCAGGGGCATACGGTAACGGACGTAATCACGGCAGCAGACGCTGTCTTCCATGTTGGCGCCGTAGGGGCCTAGCGGAGGGGTGCCAGTGAATTCACAAGCCGGAGCCCAGAGAGGTCACCCTCAGCCCCAGCCCCTGATCTCGGCCTCTCCAGGCTCCAGGAAAGCGATGCAGTTTTTCTGTTCTCATGTGGAAGGATGGTGACCAGAGGATTCTGAGCCCTCCAAGATCCTACCCTTGGAGCTTCTGAGAAGCCACTTATGGTCTGATGTCTACACTCTGGGACAGTCAGCTCTAGGAACAGGGATTCAGAACAACTAAGCATCAGCTGTACCCCAAGATGGGACTCAGTGACTCTGAGCCACAAGGTGCCTTAGATCCTTGCTGTTCAAGGTAAGGTCCATGGTCCATGGCATCAGCGTCACCTGGGAGCTTGTCAGAAATGCTCAGCCCCCGGCGCCAGACCTGCTGAATCCGGTGTGCATTTTGACAAGCTCCCCAGTGATCCATCAGCACATGGGCACTTGAGAAGTCAGCTTCTGCTCATATGTGTGCAGTGGGAAGCCTGCGGTCCACAGAGGGAGGGGCACTTGCCCAGGATCACACAGCAAGATGCAGCAGAGTCAGGACGAAGGCTCAACAGAGGACAGTCACATAGACCCGGGTTCGAGCCCCGCTTTCCCCTGACTCACTGGGCCACCCTGACCAAGTCATTGAATCCTCTGAGGCCCAATTTCCTCATCTGACCAAAGGGGTAGTAACAGTACCAGCTTCAGAGGGTGTTTAATGCATGAAAAGCGCTCAGAAAGCCCAGCAGCTGGGAGCCATTCTTGTTTATAGCTGCCCCACCCCACTCCAGTGCTCACTCCTCCACCCAACACAGCACAAGCATAGAGTGGGGTGAAGAAGGAGTCAGGAACCCATACTGAGGACAGGTTCTGGACAAAATTGGATAGTGAGCCCAGCGTAGTGGCTCACGCCTGTAATCCTAGCACTTAGGCAGGCTGAGATGGAAGTATCACTTAAAGTCAGGAGTTCAAGACAAGCCTGGTCAACATGGTGAAACCCCATCTCTACTAAAAATACAAAAATTAGCCAGGCATGGTGGTGGGTGCCTGTAATCCCAGCTACTCAGGAGGCTGAGGCAGGAGAATCACTTTAACCCTAGAGGTGGAGGTTGCAGTGAGCCAAGATTGCGCCACTGCACTCCAACCTGGGCGACAGAGACTCCATCTCAAAAAATAAATAAATAAAATGAAATAAAAAATAAATTTAGGCTAGGCGCAGTGGCTCACGCCTGTAATCCCAGCTCTTTGGGAGGCAGAGGTGGATGGATCATCTGAGGTCAGGAGTTTGAGACCAGCCTGGCCAACATGGTGAAATCCTGTCTCCACTAAAAATACAAAAATTAGCCAGGCATGGTGGTACATGCCTGTAATCCCAGCTACTCAGGAGGCTGAGGCAGGAGAATTGCTTGAACCTGAGAGGTGGAGTTTGCAGTGGGGCAAGATTGCTTCACCGTATTTCAGCCTGGGCAACAAGAGCAAAACTCTGTCTCAAAAAATAAAATAAAATATAATAAAATAATTTAAAAATAATAAAATTTTAAAAAATGGATGGTAGGAGGGCAGCACCAGCTTTCCAAGGGAGAACCACTTGCCCCAGACCTGCCTTCCCCTACTCAGACCTGACCCCTTAGAAGCTCCTCACCCACACCCCTAGGGCCCTATGCTTGAGTTTTCTGGAGCAGGAGATCCCGAGGCTCTGCCCACCACAACCCCCAACCCAGCTGAGACAGATCCTAGACTCCAAGCCTTCAAGACTACCCATTCAACAGACTTGTAAACTGAGGCCCAGAGAAGCGCTGTAACTAGCCGAAGACCGCAAGAGCCAACCGCAGACTGAGGTCTTCTGTTCTCAGTCCAGTGCTTGTCCAAGACATGAGGAAGACACCCCAGCATCCGCCCTGGCCTCTGTAGGGGGCCTTCCTGCTCCCCAGCCTCACCTGCCTCAGTTGCTTGAAGCGCCACAGCAAGGAGGATGAGGACACCCAGGAACACAGTCTGTAGGCGAGCCATGCTCTGTCCTGTATGTCTCAGCCCAGGTGTCTGCAAAGGGACATAGGAAGACCTGCTATTTAAGATGCTGGCTCCACCCACAAGCCTCACTTACTTACCTCTTAGTCACCGGGGTGCCCGGAGTCACTTGACATTCACATCTCAAAAGGAGAACTACCTCCCACTTCCTCCAAAGTGGAGAAATTCTCTTTGGTGGGGAACCACTCAGAGGGGACCCCCCCCAAATCTGTCCTCTCCTCTGGTTTCAGAGAGACTTGTAAAATCCCCCTCTTAGAGGCTCGTGCTCCCCAGGGTCTCCACGCTGTGTGGCCTTGTCTAGCTGTCTCTGGGACTTGGTTTCCCCATCTGGAAGTAAGGGAGATGGTTTCACAGCCCTGTTGACTTCACTGGTTGTAAATCAAGTGAGAATGTGGACCAACCCTCACCTGGAATTGAGGCCTGTCTTGTACCCTTAATGACAGCATCACTGATCTCTCTTCAATGGGAGAGGCCTATGGACCCATTGACCCATCACCAGCCTCTTCTGGGGCTTCTCGCGAAGTCCACATTTGGGCCAGGTCATAGATTTCTCAACGGTTTATGAAAAGTGTCCACCCACACTTCTATCCTGCCTGATTTTCCTTCCCAGTGGCTGCCAGGCTCTCCCTCCCCTACTCCCATCTCAGTCCCTCACCATGTCCATGTCCTGTTGATTCTGCTTCCTAAATCTCTCTCAGATCTGCTTCTTCTCTCCAACCCCACTGTCCTTGCCCAGTCCGGGCCACCTCCACCTCAGGCTGGGATGCTGGCCCCCTCAATGCCATTCTTACCCTGCAGCAGCCAGAGTGCGTGGTCCTGAGCTACACACTCTCTCTCCTGCTTCAAAACCCTGCTGTGGCTCCCCATTCACCTAAGGGCAGGGCCTGGGCTCCTGTCTGTGGCCCTCAAGGCCCTGTTTCCGGACAGGCCTTTCCCCACTGGTCTCCCTCCCCTGAGGGATCACACCACACTCCTCACAGTTCCTCAAAAGGGACTGCGGCCTGTCCCTGGCCTTTAATGTCACTTTCCACATCTCTACCGCATAAACTCCTACTTATGCGTCAAAGCTGTTTGAAATGTCATGTCCTTGGTAAGACACCCTCTCAGGACTTCAAAGCCTTCTAGGGGACCTGGAATGTGGCCCTGGGCAGACCGTGTCAGGTTTTCTCTTTATCAAGCCCCTCCCTAGAAGCCAGACTCCAAGCTCTAGGAGGCTGGGGTCTCCCTTCATTTTTCCTGACATTCCCGGGGGCTTCTGAGGATCAGGCACATGGTAGGTGCTTGGAACACATGGGCTGGGCATGGTGGCTCATTCCTGTAATCCTGTAACCCCAGCACTTTGGGAGGCCCAGGCAGGTGGATCACCTGAGGTCAGGAGTTCAAGACCAGCCTGGCCAACATGGAGAAACCCCATCTCTACCAAAAATACAAAAATTGGCTGAACATGATGGCACGTGCCTGTTATCCCAGCTACTCGGGCGGCTGAGACAGGAGAATCACTTGAATCCGGTGAGAGGCAGAGGTTACAGTGAGCCAAGATTGCACCACTGCGCTCTAGCCTGAGTGAGAGAATGAGAGTCTATCTCAAACAAACAAACAAACAAACAAACAAAAACAACACATCTAATGAAAGAGGAAACTGAGGTTCAGAGAAAGAGAGGACTTGCCCAGCTCACACAGCCACACAGAGGCTACGCCAGGCCTGGAACTCAGAACTTGGGACTCCATTTATAAAGGGAGCCATTCCTTCATCCAGTTCCTTCATTCAGCAAATATTTGTTAAACCCTGTCGTAGACAGAATAACGGCCCCCCTAAATGTCCACATTCTAATCCCCAAAACCTATGAATATGTTACCTTATGTGGTAAAAAGGACTTTGCAGATGTGACTGTTTAGGGTTTAGGATTTTTGTTGTTGTTGTTGTTTTAAAGGCAGGATCTCACTCTGTCACATAGGCTGGAGTGCAGTGGTGCAATCACAGCTCACTGCAGCCTTGACTTCCTGGGCTCAAGCGATCCTACTGCCTCAGCCGCTTAAGTAGCTGGGAATACAGGTATGTGCCACCATGCCCTGCTAATTTTTATTTCTTCTAGAGATGGGGGTCTCACTATGTTGCCAGGGCTGGTCTCGAACTCCTGGCCTCAAGCAATCCTCCTACCTCGGCCTTTTGAAGTGCTAGGATTATGGGTGTGAGCCACCATACCTGACCTAGAATCTTTAAAGAGGGAGATTTCTTGGATTATCTGGACAGGCCGAAGGCAATCACAGGGTTATTTCAAAAGGGAGGCAGTGGGTCAGAGTCAGAAGAGATGATGGATGACAGAGCAGAGGTCCCAGTGACGTGGAACTCTGAACCCAGGGATGCAGGCGGGTTGGAGAAGCTGGAAGAGGTAGGGAAACAGATTCTCCCCTAGAGCCTCCAGAAAGAACTTATCTCTCCCTACACCTTGAGTTTAGTCCACTGAGACTGATTTAGGACTTCTGACATCTCAGGCTATTGGATAATAAATTTGTGATGTTTTAAGCCACCAAGTTCATGGTCATTTGTTACAGCAGCCAGAAGAAGCTCATAAAAGCACCTACTATGTGCCAAGTGCACTGCCAGAGCCTGGGAAGGCAGCCTGAACAGGAGAGCAGGGGCCCCTGCTCTGATGGAGTTTGTCTTCCACAACAGACAAACATGGCAAACAACGTAATGTCAGGCTGGGAGGAACACCAGGAAGCGAATGAAACAGAGAGGCAGCTTTGGGATAGGCAGTCGGGAAAGGCCTCTAGAAGGGGGTGACATTTCAGCTGAAATTCAAAGATAGAAGGGAGGCCAGGCACAGTGGCTCATGCTTATAATCCCAGCACTTTGGGAGGCTGAGGCAGGCAGATCATTTGAGGTCAGGAGCTCAAGACCAGCCTGGCCAACATGGTGAAACCCCATCTCTACCAAAAATACAAAAATTAGCCATACGCGGTGGTGCGCACCTGTAATCCCAGCTACTTGGGAGGCTGAGGTAGGAGAATCGCTTGAAGCCAGGAGGCAGGCAGAGGTTGGGGTAAGCCAAGATTGCACCACTGTACTCCAGCCTGGGTGGCAAAGCGAGACTCCATCTCAAAAAAAAAAAAAAAGAAAAGAAAAAAAAAAGATAGGAAGGAGCCTGCCAGGGAGAGACACAGCAGATGCAAAGGCCCAGACAGACCGAGAGGGCTGAACAGCTGAGACAGAGTGGGTAGAGACAGAACGGGTAGAGATGCAGAGCGCAGCTGATTGGAGAGGCTGGCAGGCAGGGACCGCAGGGCTCCCGTGGGCTCCTGCTAGGATGCAAACTGAAGTGCACGGCATCACCTCAGAGGACCTCTTGTCAAAAGCCCTGACCCAGGACCAGTCACAAAAGAACAAATACTGTATGATTCTGCTGCTTTGGGGAACCTGGAATAGTCCCATTCACAGAGACAGAAGGCAGAATGGTGGTTGCCAGGGGCTGGAGGTGGGGGAATGGGCGTTAGACTTTCAAGCGGACACAGTCTCCGTTTTGCAAGATGAAAGTTCCGGAGGTGGATGGTGGTGGTGGTTGCACAGCAATGTGAATGTACCGAATTCCACTGAACTGGACACTTACAAATGGCTACAATGGTAAATGTATGTTATTCATATTTTTACCATTCTTTTAAAAGGTGCTTCCCTAGAATCAAATCAAGTCCCTAGTATTAATTACCAGTTGACAAGAAATACAGGGGCTAGAGGAAGAAGATAAATGGCCCCATGAGGAAGCGATCAGACAATGCCAGAAGGTGGAACCTTCCAGATGCTCTTCAGGATAACTGTACTCAGATCATCAAGAAGTTAATGTTGGTCTGGCGCGGTGGCTCAAGCCTGTGAGCACTTTGGGAGGCCCTGGCGGGCAGACCACTTGAGGTCAGGAGTTTGAGACCAGCCTGGCCTACGTGGTGAAACCCCATCTCTACTAAAAATACAAAAATTTAGCTGATGTGGTGATGCATGCCTGTAGTCCCAGCTACTTGGATGGCAGAGGCATGAGAATCACTTGAACCTGGGAAGAGGAGGTTGCAGTAAGCCAAGATTGGGTCACTGCACTCCAGCCTGGGCAACAAAGTGAGACTCTGTCTCCAAAATTTAAAAAAAAGTTACTGTTGTTTTAGAAAAATAATAAAGTGAATAGAACATTTATGATTAAAAGAGGCTTAAGAGACATAACAGCCAAATGCAATTCATGGACCTTGATTGAATCCTAGTTTTGAAAAAACAGTCAGGGCATAGTAGCTCATGCCTGTAATCCCAGTAGTTTGTGGGTCTGAGGCTCACTTGAGGCCAGAAGTCTATACCAGTCTGGGCAACATGGTGAAAACCCCTCTCTACAAAAAATACAAAAAAATTAACCGAGTGTAGTGGCATGTGCCTGTAGTTCCAGCTACTCGGGAAGCTGAGATGGGAGGATCACTTGGGCCCAGGAGGTGGAGGTTACAGTGAGCCAAGATCACGCCTCTACACTCCAGCCTGGGTGACAGAGCAAGACCCTATCTCAGAAAAGAAAAAGGAAAAACAGAGGGCCAGGCGCAGTAGCTCACGCCTGTAATCCCAGCACCTTGGGAGGCCGAGGCAGGTGGATCACCTGAGGTCTGGAGTTCAAAACCAGCCTGCCAAAATGGTGAAACTCCATCTCTACTAAAAATACAAAAATTAGCCTGGCATGGTGGTGCGCACCTGTAATCCCAGCTACTCAGGAAGCTGAGATAGAGTAATTGCTTGAACTCAAGAGGTGGAAGTTGCAGTGAGCCAAGATGGCACCACTGCACTCCAGTCTGAGCAACAGTGCAAGATTCCATCTCAAAAAAAAAAAAAAAAGAAAAGAAAAAACAGCTCTAAAAAGATCTTTTGGGGACAGTGTGGAAATGTGGAAATGTGACTATGGGCTGAATAGTATAGTAGATTATTAGTGCTTTATTGTTGATTTTCTTCAGTGTAATGTAGGAAAATGTCCTCATTCCTAGAAGATGAAGTATTTAGGGATAAAGGTCATAAAACACTGAAGTATTTAGGGATAAAGGTCATGATCACCTTACTCCCAAAGAGTTCAGGAGAAAAAAAAATGTGTGTATACATATATGGATATGTATGCAATATGTGTGTATACATATGTGTATGCATAACTATAGATGTATGTGCACATGTACATATGCGTGTATATACGAATATGTATGTAATATATGTGCATATGTGTGTATAGCTGCAGATGTACCTATCTATATATG